GAACAAGTCCTTGAAATAGAGAGAATGCCCCAGTGTCCATGAGCATGAATTCTCTCTCCGGCTTTTAAATGTCTAGAAAGGCCCATTTCCCAGCAGTGCTCTACTTGAGTCTGGCTTAATTAACATCCCGGTGTCTGAGGTGATTCTGAGTTTAGTACAAGGGCCCTGATTCTAAATCCATCTTACTATAGCTTCGTAATACACTTTGATGTTCTTAGGCCAATAACTCACAACCTGGTGAAATTATCTGGATAAGCTTATACTTCAGCTGAGTGTAGGGCCAGGGATGAAAATGTAGGCTTCATGTTATCAGTCATTTATTGAGGATTACTAATCATCATTAAAGATGATAAGCCGGAGATGAGGAAGAAATAAGCAAGATGGTCCTGCCCTCAAGTTGCACATATTCCTACAAAGAGTAAGAAAATTTATGATAATCTGACGTGTTAACAAGTGCTACACTGAAGGTCTCAGAGTGGTGTGACCACACCAAGGACTGGATGGAGCATGGAGGCCATCTGAGGGCACAGCTGGGAGGAGCAGAAAGGAAGTCTGAGCTATATGGACTTGGAGAAGGCCTCAGGAGGAAATTACACCTACCTTGTGCAAATCCAAAGGTCTGGATAGAATCTGTGGTGAAATTATGGACCTTTTTTAGTACAGAGTGTTGTACCATCTAGACCAGGGTTTCTTACCCTCAGTGCTATTCACATTTTGGAATGGGCAGGGGGTTGGAGGATTTCCTGTGAATTGTAGGTGCTTCACAGCATCCTGGCCTCTCCCTATCAGATGTCAGTTGTATCTACCCTCCCTCAACAACCAAAAATGTTAGAAATTGCCAAACGTCCCTGTGGGGTGAGGGCAAAATCACCCTTGATGGAAAACCATTGGTTAAAGGTACTATCCTCATTTTTCTGTTAAAAACTGAAACCAAGTTGAGAGTAAAAGACTTGCCCAGCTAGTTAGTGTTAGAGAGAAAAAATAAAACCCGGTCTTCTGATCCCGGTTCAGTCTCCCCTTCCATAAACCAGAAGATGCCTCCGGGATATTTCAGATCTGAGATTTTCATCCTCTCCCAGCCTCTTCATGGTTGTAGAGGAGGATCCGCCTGATGCTGTGTTTGCAGAGAAGTAGCGAGAATCCTGAGGTTAGGTTTCTTCACGGGAGTGAAACCCTGGTGTGCAATTTGTGAATATGGCAACATAGAGTCACTCAGAAAAGGCAGGACCTGTTAAGTGGTTTGGAAGTATTCGGACGAATCTAACCATTCCTTCTCAAGTAACTACAATCATTTCTAACCAGATTCCCCTAACATCTGCTACAACTGAAGCCAGCCAACCATGTGAAGCACCAGAAATGACCAAGCTTTGTGTGTTCATGGCTGCAGCATCACTCTCCACTTTGCATTACCCTGAAGCATCCTTTGCAAATTGATGGTCATCATCATCCCTAACCAGTTCTCTTAACAGTGAACCTACAATTAATGGCTACAGTGATTTGAAATTCGTCTCCAGCCTGACCTCTGAAATCTAGTAAGCTAGGCTCAGGGCACTGCCATCCCTTAACTATAAAAGAAAGGGAAGACTCCAGAAGTCTTGAAGATCACCCTTCTCCTTCCTCTTTTTGGTAGTTAGGGTACCATTCCTGGGTAGATAGAAAGTAGATAAAATGTCTGCTTTGGTTTCTCACATTTTCTGTTTGAATAAAAAACTTCTTCAGGCTGTAATGAAATTATTTTAGTGTGGTACAAGTTTCTAGGGATAAGAGAAAGGAGATCGTACCAAATACTTATGAAAAAAGAAGTCAAAATTTAAGATAAGAAAGGCAATGTAGTAAGATTTTTCCTTGACTACATCTCTGTTAAGTAACCTTGTATTTCCTCTGACTTGGTTTTTCCTAAGGTATGTATAAATACATTTATCATTTAAAAGCCTAAATCTGATTTTCAAATCTCTGTGATTAAAAAAAAAAAAACCAAACTTCTTAGATTTAAATTTGGTGCCAACCCAAAATACACATTCATTCATTCTTTTGTTCATGCAGTAAATATTATTGCAGGCTTACTATGTGCCAGCACAGGAAGACCAAGTAAGACTAAGACTGTTCTAAGTCTCAGTAGTGAACAAAGTTTCTGCCTTTAGGAGCTTTTTATGCTAGTGTGCAGACACCATGAATAAATAATAGATAGTAGTGGTGCAATGCAGGGAAATAGATGAGAGTAAACAACACACATTGAGTGCTATTTTAGGCAGGAATATCAGTAAGTGCATAGGTATGAATAACAATGTGAATGTTAATTTGCTCCAGTGTAATACTAGGTGAGCTCCCACAGAATCTGACTTAGGAATGACCACTTACTCCATTGTTGTATAAAAATACATCCCCTTTACCAAATCCCATCACCACAAACTATTATTGAGGCCTCTATTTAAATCGATACCATTGGTATGAAGGTCGTTATCTTTTTAGATGGCTCATTCTATTTTTGTGTGGTTTAATTTGAGGGGAATTCTCTTAGGAAGCAAATATCTACCTCCTGCAACCTTTCTGCCTAACATATGGCACCCCAAACACTTCTTGTTCTACTGGTCCTTAAGACATTGACTCCTATCTCAAATTTGACCCTAGTGGAAAGTTTTCAGGGGGTTCAGCAGAGGAGACAGTATTTTAATATTATTTCATTGACACTAAATTTTAATTTATAGTCACACATTAGCTAATCTAGATCTAATCTAGAATCTAAGTTAGCTGACTTGTCTTCAGTTCCCACTCAATGTTCACAGGAATATCTTGCCTTGCAGTTGTTCGATAGGATACAGGAATAGGGGAGATTAGGATCGATGCCCTTAATACAGTAGCAGCTCCTTGGGAGGCTGCCTCCATCAAGGAGAAGAGTAGAAAGAGAGAAAGAGAGAGAGTATTTGGCTCTGCACACTCCAGAGGGGCCATGCCAGATAGAAGCCAAGAGTGATAGGGATGGATCTGCCTTCGAGTTAGACAGTTGCTTTGTCACTGGCTGTGAGATACCAACTGAAAGGGAGGATACTTGCAGGTAGAAGAGGAGCAGCAACACCTAAAAGCTGACTCATGATTAGGGGATTATCCTCGGTGCAACTTTTACTAATCGTAGATCCCATCAAGGTGTCAACCCAGGCCTCCCATGGGATCCTTCAGCACAGCATGTCCGTCTGAGCATGTCCAGTTTCCCTTCCTCTTACTTCAGTCTGGGGTGACCCAGGCACCTGGATAAAAAACAAGCATGCAAAGACCCCCTTCTCAGGCTTGCCAGGTAAAGGGCTATTGCCCCGCAGCAAAATCTTACAAGGACCCTAGGCCAATACCAAGGAATTTCTTGAGTGATTCTGTATGTATTGCCAGATAGAGTCAAATATGTTTCTCTATCTGTGCTAACTTTATTATAGAAATAGACAGAACGTTATAAACTATGAAGTATATAAGATTGTGTGAGATTTTCATTTATTTCCTGGTTCATGAAGGTAAATAATATTTTTAATATCAATGTACTCCCAGATGCATAGGTCTAACCTAATCCAACCCCCATTATTTTTTAAAAGAATGTATTTTAACAAAGAATCTGAAAACATTACTCTTGTAAGAAGACATTTAATTCAAAGAATGTCAAAATAGATGTATGTCCCTAGGATCTAAGCACAGAGAGAAACTGTTGGGTCATTACATAACAGAACAAAGGTTAATTGTATACTGAAAACGTCTTTATCTCCTATTAAGTAGATCTCTTGTAATAAGGAACCTATCTGAGAACTTGGATTAGAGTAAGGGAGGGATAGTATTATAGCATTTCCTTTGTGTACCTGAAATCACAGGATGCCTGAAACCCGTCATGGAAGCTAAAATAATTATCGTGGTCATTTTAGCTAAGCTGGGTTAAAGAAAATAGGTGAAGAAGAAACCCCAGGTTGGAGCTGGGGTGGAGGAAATGTATCACCCACCAAGGGTGCAGAGGGCAGCTTTCCTGCCCCTTCCTCCCCAGCCACCTTCTGAGCGATGCCTCCTCCCCTTGACTTGGCTGTGGAGCCCTCTCCATGCTTTCCCTTCATCTTAACACGTGATTTCCGGAGTTTCACATTTGTGCTGCTTCAAGCCATCTGGCACCTGCGACAGTAACATCCAGCCTGTGTATGTTTGTGAGAAGTAAAGGGACAAGGGGAGGAGGAGGAGAAGGACGCTGGGGAAGACTGGCTGAGGAGGGAGAGTGGGCTTATCCCAGGAGAGGGATAAAGGGTCTCCGGCGTTGGCCAGGGGGATCTCGAGCTTCTCTCTTTTAATTGTCATCTATAAGTTTTCTCAGAAGGCAAAAGCTTAGAAGATCATTCAGTCTTGATAAGAAACGTTAACAGCCACTTTTGTGACCTACCTGCTATGTGTATGTTATTACGACACGATGTACTAAATCACGAGGATTAGTAACTAACATTAGGTTGTCCTTTAGAGCATCATTCTTACAGGGTGTCTACTGTACAAGGGCTCCAGCTGGAACCATTAGAGGAAATGTTGGCCTGAGGACCGTGACTTTAGCAGTGATTTCCTGGGCTTTAGTAGAAGTGATAGCGATATAACATCCAGAAAGTTATCTGCTTGGAAAAAAAAAATAGTAGATTCTATATTTTCCTATTTCTGGGATTTTAATCCACTCAAAGCAAAGAGCTGCATCAGGAGCCCAAGGTTCCAGGCCACTCTCTCTCACTAACCAGCTGTTTAATCTGGGACTGTGGTTTCACCCCTCAGGGCTTCAGCATCCACTTCTGTGAAATGACTTCTAGCATCAATCTCTATTATTATAAATATTTCTTAAGTAAATGAAAACCAGAGCTCTGAATTGAACATTAGAGGTCATTAATAGTGTATAAGGGGACTTGTAAAATATACTATGTTCCAGATCTGCCACTTCTGGCTTCCTGTTCGTGTAATAAATATGTGTGAGTTGCTTGGCTAAAGAAAAGTATATTTTCTCATTACAGATAAATAGGATTTACCAGTCCCTGGATGAAGTGCTTGGGAAGTCTTTAAATGCCACAGTCAACCACCGTGTCAAAGAAAAGAAAATAGATGGTTTTGGAAAGTTCATGCTGTTTCTGCACTGAATTTTAGGTGAGTGTGCTTAAGATAAATTTAAAATGGACATTGAACTCCTTCCCTTTAAAGGGCTTCTCTTCTTTGTATGAAAAAAAATTGAATATTATGAAGACTTTTCAGTTTTGCACTTTCGTGAGATGCCAAGGAAAGACTTGGTCTCTGCACCTTTTGTTTCTTTCTTCCTCTTATTATCACAAACCTCTGAACTATGAGGTGGACAAAATAGAGATGGTCCTGAATCTCATCCTGGTTCCTATTAAGCAAACGTCATAATACTTCATTCCATTCTAAAACTCAACTTGTTTTTTTAGTACAGAAAAGGTATTTAATATCAGAGTAATAAACCAGAATGGGACAAAACTATGTTTTAATGGAATAAACTTCGGGGGAATTTGATGGTGGTGATGGTCATTTAGTCACCAGCAGCTCTATGTGTGACATAGGGGTAACTTTCCAGAGGCTGCATTTTGGAAGATTTTATATGGCTTAGAATGAAAAGCAAGACACGGTTAAGGTCAGGTGCACTAACGTTTTAAACTGCTGTGTACAATGAAGCACACACTCAAGTGAACCTTTATTTTTCCAGGCCATAAAATGGATGAATAAATACATCTTACATCATGATATGTTATTGCCCTTCCATGTTACGGAAGACAAAAGCCTATAAATTGGAGCTTTAATATCACTCTAAAATACACCATGGTCATTTTGAGCAGAACAGAGAGAAACAGAGAAATTGAATGATCATCGTATGCCTTTCCAATCTTCCCAAGAGAAGTTCTCAAACTGTGGAGGGATTTAAAATATTTTTTTTAATTTCAGAATATTACAGGTACAAAGATTTTGGCTACATAAACTGCTTTGGTACAGCTTGAGTGAAAGTTACAAGTGTGTCCATCAGGCAGATAGTGTACAGGTGCCCGTACCTTCCCCCTGCCCCTCTTACCTGCTTGATTGCTAATGAGTGTTATTGCCACATGTGCACATAATTATCAATTGATTCGTGCACCTTTATTACCCTCTTTGAAGGAAGGTGATTTTCAGAACACCAGAATACCTGTTTACAATTCTGAATAAAACAATGCGGCCGACAGAGCCTTGACCACGGTTTGAATTTAGTCTAAATTTAGTCTGAAAATTCTTTATACTTTTCATTAACTTCAGAATGAAGGGGTTAATAATAATTCTTTCATAACCTTAAGGGTGTATAAATCTGGATTATTGTGATTGGATGTAGAACTAAAATGGCGATTTCGTTTATTTACAAGTTGTATGTTGCATGCAAATCCCAGGAGCTAAACTTAGTGCCCATCAAAAATACCAGTCAATCAATTTGCCTAGTGTAACAGTTACGCTAGAAGAGAAAAGGAAAATGAAGAACTTATTGTCTGACCCCTTTAATTTCAATTGTGCCATTCTGTGCCTGCTTTTACCTTTGGGTCATTCCTCGCGCTGTCCCTCCTCTGTGTGCTCCCAGGGACTGACCCCACGGGCTGTCTTTTCCAGCCTCAGCCTTCTCTCCCTCCCACCCTTTGGCTCCAGCTCCCCCCGTGACCTTGAATCCTGAACTCCAGTACTCCCACCCTTCCCTTGTCTGTTGACAGTTGTGAGTGGTGACATCTTTGGCTTCCTTTGTGCTAAGTTTTAGTTTGATTCACCATCCATAATTTAGTTTCCCAATTCTTCCATCATCTGTGTAGCCATTTCCCTAAATTAAATTCTATCATTTTAAATACTTAGAATGTTTTCTCTTTTCCTAGTCAGGTCCTAATTACTCCATCAATGCTGCATTAATCTCTTCCAAAATTATCAAAATCGAAGAGAATAGGAATTACATGCTTCTCCTTAGGATAACAAGTGATTCCCACAAATATGTGAATATAAAGTTGAGTAGGTACCTTTAATGTGTTTTATATATGACACTGAAATGTAATGCATGTACACAAAAGGTCCCAAGTAAGCGTGTATCTCAGTGAACTTTCACAAAGTAAAAGCAACCAGTCAGATGAAGAAGTAGAATAC